TCTGTCCCAAGGAGGTGTCGGATTTATCGTCCACAAGTCTCTCGTTAACAACGTTGTAAAGATTGAGAGTGTGTCGACGAGGGTTGTGTACCTTATACTCAGAATCACCAAACGGTATTCGCTGAAGGTCATACAGGTTTACGCACCAACCTCGGCACACCCCGATCAGGAGGTGGAGGAAATGTATGAGGATATCTCTAGAGGCATGCATTCCTCCAAAACCCAATATACGGTGTTAATGGGAGACTTCAATGCAAAACTAGGCACAAGAGAGAACGGTGAGCTGAAAGTAGGGAAATTTGGAATAGGGCAACGGAACCCAAGGGGCCAGCAGTTGGCTGACTTCATGGAGAAAGAGGGACTCTTTATGATGAACTCTTTCTTCCAGAAGCGGCCCCACAGGAAGTGGACCTGGTCGAGCCCCGACGGTTCGACAAAAAATGAGATTGACTTCATTATGACGACCAGACGACAACTGTTCAGTGATGTCTAAGTGATCGCGAGGGTGAAAACCGGCAGCGATCACCGAATGGTTAGAGGCACACTGAACCTAAACGTTAAGTTGGAGAGGTCTCGTCTAATGAAGTCAACGCTCCGTCCCCCTCGTGCTCTAATCCAAAGTCCCGAAACCTTTCAGCTCGAGTTACAAAACCGTTTTCAGTGCCTAGAAGACTGCAATGAAGTGGACGATTTGAATGACAAGCTCGTGGAAACTGTCCATGCGGTCGGAGCTAAGTTCTGCAAGACCCGCCGCAGAAGAACACAAAAACTCTCCGATCACACTCTTAATCTCATGGCTGTTAGACACGAGATGAAGCTACATTCTTCAACAGATTTAACAGCATACAGGCAACTGAACAGACAGATCTCCAAATGCATGCGGCGGGACTTACGCAACTTCAATACAGCTCGTATTGAAGAAGCGATCGAGCGGAACCAAGGCTCCAAAGTCTTTGCCAGAGATCTGTCTGCCAGAAAGCGCCAACTGTCAAAGCTGAAGACAGAATGTGGCAGCATCGTTTCCGGGGCACCTGAGATTTTGAGTGACATTGAGAGGTTCTATGGGCAGCTGTACACGTCATCGTTGGAGCCGCACGCAAGTGTGAGTAACGATCCAAGAGCGAGTCTTATCCGACATTATTCCGATGATATCCCGGACGTCAGTCTGAGCGAGATTAGAATGGCTCTCCAGCACCTTAAAAACGGCAAGGCCCCAGGCGAGGATGGAATTACAGCGGAGCTTCTGAAAGCGGGTGGAAAACCGGTACTTGAAGTCCTTCAGAAGCTCTTTAATTCCGTCCTCCATGGTGGCATTACACCGGAGGCGTGGAGCAGAAGTGCAGTGGTCTTGTTCTTCAAGAAAGGCGACAACGCTTTCTTGAAGAACTACAGACCGATTTCCCTTCTGAGCCGCGTCTACGTGCTGTTTTCGAGAGTCATTACGAATCGTCTCGCGCGCAGACTTGACGACTTCCAGCCTCCCGAACAAGCCGGTTTCCGAAAAGGCTTTAGCACCATAGACCACATACATACCCTTCGGCAAATTGTACAGAAGTTCGAGGAGTACAATTTGCCACTATGTCTGGCGTATGTGGACTATGAGAAAGCCTTTGATTCCGTCGAAATTTGGGCGGTGCTGCAGTCCCTTCAGCGATGCCAAGTTGACTGTCGGTATATCGAAGTGTTGAAGTGCTTGTACAGTAGGGCTACGATGGCTATCCGAGTACAGAACCAGAGTACGAAACCTATCCAATTGCAGAGAGGTGTAAGACAGGGTGACGTCATATCCCCGAAACTCTTTACCGCTGCATTGGAAGATGTTTTCAAGCTTCTGGACTGGAAAGGATACGGTATCAACATCAATGGCGAGTACATCACTCACCTTCGATTTGCCGACGATATAGTCCTTATGGCAGAATCGCTGGAGGACCTAAGCACTATGCTCAATGACCTCAATAGTGTTTCCCAACGGATAGGTCTTAAGATGAACATGGACAAAACAAAGATCATGTTTAATGTCCATGTCACACCTATGCCGGTAGTTGTTGGGAACACTAAGCTCGAAGTTGTTGACGAGTATGTTTACCTGGGACAAATAGTCCGACTAGGTAAGTCCAACTTCGACCGAGAGGTCAATCGACGGATTCAACTCGGTTGGGCAGCATTCGGGAAATTACGGCACATCTTCTCGTCAGGTATACCTCAAAACTTGAAAACGAGACTGTACACCCAGTGCGTGTTGCCAGTGATGACATACGGAACTGAGACGTGGTCCTTCACTGCTGGCCGGATGAGGAAGCTCAAGGTCGCTCAGCGAGCTATGGAGAGGGCTATGCTCGGAGTTTCTCTGCGTGATAAACTCAGAAATGAGGATATCCGCAGTAGAAGTAGAGTGACCGACATAGCCCAACGGATTAGTAAGCTGAAGTGGCAATGGGCCGGCCATATAGCTCGAAGAACCGACAACCGATGGGGAAGAAAGGTTCTCGAGTGGCAGCCTCGTACCGGCAGGCGAAGTGTAGGGCGTCCCCCCACTAGATGGAGTGACGACCTGGTAAGATATGCAGGAAGTCGATGGATGCAGGTGGCTCAGGACCATGCTTTGTGGCATTCTTTGGGGGAGGCCTATGTTCAGCAGTAGACTTGTGAAGGGCTGTAATGATGATGATGATGATGAATCATCAATAGCGATCGAACAAACGATATTTAGTAATATTTTCTGTACTAAACATTCGTGAATCTTGCTGATCAAGTAGTTATTTTGCGGATTGACTGTTTATTAGACAAACTCATATTATTGTAAGCTGCCCATTTATTTATGATTAAATTACTGAAAAATTCACATTTATTGCTATTTGGATCAAGACCAATATTTTTAAAATTTCGAAAAATATGAGTAAGATCACTGAGGACGTCATCTGCTCTACATCCCAGCGTACCGTCGTCCAGGTACCAGACATTCGGCTTGGATTTCAAATTTGAAATAATGGGTTGAATTCCCAAACTGAAAAGTGGTGGACCTAGTGGGTCAACCTGTTGAACACCGACAGCAGAATCGATAATACGGTTTTCGTAAAACTAGTTAGTATTTTGACTGATGCCAAACGTAATGATAAATTTCGGAGGTATTGTTAGCCACTTCTTTCAGCAGGGTTACCCTATCGATAGACTCCTTAGATAAACCTTCACAAGAACATCTGTATCAGAGTTTGTTAATTTTATGTTTATTTATTTTGTTAAATTTTGATGAGAAAATTATGAAGTTTACTCACTTAACGAACCGCAAAATTTTTAAATTTGTAAGTATTTTGTATCATTAGGAAAAAAAAGATAGGATTTTTAAAGTAATTTGGCAATAGGGGTCTGAGGTATAAGTTCATTTTGGAAAAGGACTCTCGTGCTCAAAATAGTTTGGGAATTCCCGTGATAGACTGTAAATATTAAGATGATGATACATCACCACTTATATTTTGACGTGGTGTAGACATGCTGCATTTTCTTTCGCATCTACCATGGGGAGTGCTCTGAGGAATTGTTCAGATTAATCCCAGCCGCCAAATTTCACGAACGCACATCGCGGCAGAACTCCCGATACCATCCACACCATCTGGATGATTGGCGGTCCACCACTGTGCGATTTAGAAGATGTTTTCTTCCTCGCACGACTTCCTTGTGGAATCGATTACCATCAGCGATTTTTCCGGACCGATACGACTTAGGGACCTTCAAGAAAAGAGCGTACTCCTTTTTAAAAGGCCGGCAACGCATCTGCAATTCCCTCCCTGGTGTTGCAGTTGTGCATGGGCGGCGGTAGTCACTTACCATCAGGTGAGCCGCATGCTCGTTTGCCCCCTCTCCTATAAAAAAATCTGTATTTTGGCTATAGCCAACCCATTCGTGTTTGCTTAACTGGGAAAGTACCACGCTCTCTATTATTATATATTATTCTCATTAAGCTAGTGTAAAAAAGCAATACAATGCTGCTGTTTCGTATGATAATTGACATGAACCCGGGACCGGATACCCCTTGTAGGGGATAAAACACTTGCAGGAACTAGTTTCACGATATTTATTTTTATATTTATATTTCACAGAAAAAATAATTGTCGAAATAACGTTTTAAATTTGGAAGAGTCATATTGTTTAATTAGGAATGATAATACTGTCGGGAATGAGGGTAAAAAAAAATATACGAACAAATGAAGGTAGAATGTTAATCTCCCACTTGTTTAAGCAGTATAAAGTATCGTGCAGGCTACTAAGAAGATCAGTCTGTAATTCTACGAGTGTCACTGTCGTTACTATGCCCGTGGGGGTATTCTACTGGTATAGGCAAGGAAGGTATTGTTACTGATAGGCTGACCTGTGTTACATTGAAATGGGTAGTGAATAGTGATGCTGTTGGTTTGCATACTTTAGTGTTATCATGTAGTTGGGTCCTGCCTGATAGGTAAGCAGGGCTTGTTACCGAGTAATGTTCTTTTATTTAAATAATTTTGAGAATAATTTTTAACATCAGAAGTGGAATAGTTTCTTACAATACATTAATTGAAATTGAATTACATATTATGATTTTCAAATAAATATGTGGGTACTGCTGTAATTGAATTGTACCAAACCTATAACCTTTATTAGCAAATGCAAGCAATAAGTTGACAAAATTTTAACACAATCTGATGAACGGTATGGCAGCGCATACGATACGAACAAAAATTAATTTTACATTTTAGATTATTATTATACTAATTATAAAAACTGAGCGGTTTCGCCTCACGGCATCATGAGGTACCTATAAGAATAACGAACATACCTGCTTACATTACACATTTTGGTTTCATAATACATTTTGGTGGTATAGGTGAGGATAGACTACAGCGGCCATTGAAAATCAAGTGGACTGCGTTCTCTATGTCGCCCCTACCTGTTTAATAAAAATAAACAAAGTGGTAATCCCAGACCAAATACAAGTGGTAATTGAGGCGATATTACTCGCGTTGCAGGTGATGTTCACGGACTGGACGGAGTTCCCAGCGGACTATGAAGCGAGCTTCGTACATCCGAATACAGAATCTTTTCACCACCTATACGGTATCTATACCTACTGTTCTGAAGACGTACTGCGACTTCCTGTCTCAAGGTCAGCTCTCAAATTAAAACTTAATAAAAATAATTTATACATACTATATACTTGCGACCCAAAAATTTCAAAAATACAGCCAAGTACACTTTTGACATGATATTACAGACAGACCGTTTAGTTTTGTATAATTGTACAGATAATCGTTGTTGCGTCTGTTAATGATCGTGTAATTTCTGCACGAAAAGTCTTATAAGGTCTTGACCGATCGAGGTCATATTCATATAATATATAATTATATATTATACTTGTTTTGTCGAGATGGTTCATAGCTATGCTAGGATCCGATAGGAAGATAGCAAGTTAATAACAAATTCTCTATTTATCTACCAAAATATACTCACAATTTTTGTTGGCTTAGTGCCCAATTGAACCTGATAAGTGGTGCGTCGTCACCGTCGTGCCACATACCAGAAAGGGCAGAACAACGTCGGCCGAGCAACCTAGTTAATATTTATAATAAGTAATATTTACTAACCCTTAAGAGCTGGACATAGATCTTCCTCATTGTAGAGAAGATTTGTCGCAATAGTCGCGCTTGGCAGGAATCAACCAAAAAATTCTTTAACCCTGCTTCCTGTCACTGGTTCAGACATTTTACATCGGCCAACTAAAAGATTTTCCATAGTCGCTTTTAAACACCCACGTGATGAAATAAAATTATTAATCCATTTTCTCTTATAGTAACAATAAAAAGGAAATCACCATTGAGTTATATGTACTACGTACTAGAGAAGCCATTCCAAACAAAAATTGTGTCCTACTCTGTCTTCGAGCAGGCGCGCGAGTAATAGTCCCGCATGCGCGAAGACTTTAATTTAATATAAAATAAGATATTAATATAAAATAAATATAAGAATTTAATATAAAATATCTTAATTTAATCTAAACAAACATATTTCTAAATAAAATGTAATAATTATTATTTTATGGAATTCACAAATCTTCAATTTACGCAATATTTAGTTTGTATGGATTGCACTACAGTTCAGTTGAACATAATCAATGTTCGGAATGGCTTCTCTAGTACGTAGTACATATAACTCAATGGAAATCACATTAAAATGTTTTTATCAAAGAACACATGGGTACATTTTATTTATTTAATATTGCATTTGACCGTTCTTACTAACAAAATAGGATACAAGAAGTGAGATAAAAAAGGAAAAAAGAATAAAAAGAAATTAAAAATTTTGTGCAACCGACTTCAATATAAAATATTAAGGATAACTCAAAACTACTGGTCAGACCTTGATAAAATTTATATGGAACCACATGAGAAGCACCAGCTTTCAAATAAAAAAAGAAATATCAAAATCGGTTTACCTAGATAAAAGATATAAGTTACCTAGATAAAAAAACATACAGACGAATTGAGTACAGTCTCCTTTTTGAAGTCGGTAGAAAAAGGAAGACGTTGTTAGGGCCAGCACACGGGTTCATCATCGGATTAGCTTTATGGTACCATATTATTGCATTGTCATCAAAATTACATAAGTATACCGACAAGTGCTTCAAAAATTGATTACAAAAGAGACAATTGTTTTTGGGCCCACAAGTTTTAACGTAACTTAATAGTATTACACATAAAAAGAGATACCAATTTATTATAGTACCTAGTAGTAGTATACTGCCTTATATATATGCTTATACTGCCTTAATAGTATACTGCCTTAAGATTCTATGAAAGTGAAACCGGAATCATGAAAATCTGAAAAAAAAGAGTTGTTTTGATATTCGTGTTCTGTCTAATGTAATATGAAAAAAAAAGTTTTAGGTTATTGCGATATTCATATTATAATTGTTCATTTCTCGGTAATCCCGTCAAATGCGGTAAAACTAAAATTAATATTGCAATCTATAGATTATATGGAATAAATCGGCTTGCATTTCATTACGTATTATACGTATATAGCCACAATTTGTGTTGGGCCCATTCTCTATACATATAGAAATTGTCTGCTTTTGAACCGGAATGACCGACCGAAAGCAAGATAAAAGCTTGTGAAAATACTCGAATAATACGTTTGATTTGACAAAAAATGTTTTTTCGAAGAAATTATTACTTATTTATATATTATATTTTATTTATTTTCATTACATGTTTTTCATTGTTGAATAAGAATCTGTTTTTTGTGCAGCCGAAAATGTTACTTCACCAAGGAAGTTACTCTGCCATATTTTAGAGAGTACCATAACTCGGACTGCAACCTTGCGTGCTTCGTAATGGAAGTGGAGGATCAATGCCACTGTACCATGTTATACGTGCCTCGAGTGAATGCCCACCGCGCCTGCAATATCACCAGCCTAGTCTGCATTGCGAATGTTAAAAGTACCTACACTTGTATAATATTTAAATAACTTGAGTTTTTATATCTTTATGTATAAAAATTACGTGTCACGTTGTTTGTCCGCGATGAACTCCTAAACTACTGAACTGATTTCAATGAAATTTTGCACACTCTGTGCAGTTTCGTCCAACTTATCCTCATAAGAGACACTCAATATTTTTTTATTACGAATTTAAGGATTTTTTATATGAAGGGTCGTCGAAAAGGGCTTTACAGCCCGTATTTAGACTGGTTCTCTCCTTTATTATTTTTCTCTTTATTGGTTTTCTTTGCAGGCGAGGGTAGTACCTACCTAGACCGACACATTAGGCAGATAGGAGCCTCTAGTGTGCATTTTTAGTGACCAAGAGTTTTATAGGTTTTGGAATAGATTTGAAATTTAACTATTGCCTTTGATTTTTGCCGCTAAACATCTGTGGTCTCTGTGTTCTTCGGTTGATAACAATAATTACCAGCGCCATTCTATATTAGGCCTTAGTACTTAGTAGTACTAGTATTAGTACTGTGTAAACTTATACCAAGAACTGCGAATTCGTTGTCAGTTATAAAAAGATACAAAAATGGCAATCCACTGAACCATGAACCTGAAGCAGCTGGAATAATGACTCTATTTTTCTATATTGTCAGAAATGTAGGTTCCTCTCGCTGTACTTTCATTGTTAGACATATATGGTAAGTCAGTCCTAAATATTTCAACAAACTATTTCGTTCAAACTAATCGAGTTCGGTTCTGTTATACGTGCTATTCAACTTTAGAGGAAACTTTTATCTACTGAGTTACCAAGATTCTTTACTATATTATATGTTATGTTTATATATTATTTACTATGTTTTTATATTATTTACTGTGTATAAAATTTACCTAATTAGTGTAAGAAATACAAAAGCAAATTGTAAAACAAATATAATTTCTTTTAGCGCAAATAAGCAAGTGGTACCAGAGATGCAAATTGTGCCTCAGAGACTGTGTGTCGAGGCGTTACAGAGCCGATTTGATTTTGGGAAATCTTGATGCAATGGAACATTTGCATTTTAATCCATAGTGAGTAATGTCTGAGTTTAAGGTAACTATAGTAAAATGTAGTATCGAGCCAATCCATTCATGCTGCTGCCATTATAAGTGTGACTATACCTCGTTAAAATAGTACACATACGTACGGGTAATTTAGGAACTTAGAAAAAAACCGTTACATCTCATACATGAATGCAGACCACAAAGTAATTATAATAATTCTGACTTTCCACAGTTTAGCTCCCACTCAACTGTGGAAAGTCAGAATGTGTCACAAACCCACGTATCATCATCATCATCATTACAGCCCTTCACAAGTCCACTGCTGAACATAGGCCTCCCCCAAAAAATGCCACAAAGCACGGTCCTGAGCCACCTGCATCCATCGACTTCCTGCATGTCTTACCAGGTCGTCACTCCATCTCGTGGGGGGACGCCCTACACTTCCCCTACCGGTACGAGGCTGCCACTCGAGAACCTTTCTTCCCCATCGGTTGTCGGTTCTTCGAGCTATATGGCCGGCCCATTGCCACTTCAGCTTACTAATCCGTTGGGCTATGTCGGTTTCTCTGGTTCTACTGCGGATATCCTCATTCCTAAGTTTATCACGCAGAGAAACTCCGAGCATAGCCCTCTCCATAGCTCGCTAAGCGACCTTGAGCTTCCTCATCCGGCCAGCAGTGAAGGACCACGTCTCAGTTCCGTATGTCACGTATATCAATTCATAATTCTGTATTAATCCTTGTCTTATTGTATGTAAGAAGCATAAGAGTAAAATTAATGCTGTAGAAATGGGATCATTATTTACGTTAGAGGGACACCAAATGATAGAGTGAGAAATTGTGTGATAAGAAAAAATCGGGGTATGGCTGTTTCTTGGACACGGCAGTGTGTTTTATGCAGTGGCGGATTTACACATTTGGCGCCAGAAGGCTATTGAAATTTTGCAGCCCCTACCGACCTCTACAATTCGATACCCTAGTTCACAATCATATTTTTTTTTGTCAATGAAATTGTGGGTTAATGATTTGTGCACTATCGTCTTAATTACTCCACCTTTTTCCCGTAATTATTAAGATTGTGAACTGGATTGATGTGTCTGTTATAAGATTATTTTTACAATCCAATGATTTAGTTATGATTGCACAAAAAATAGTTTTTGGCTATATTACTGATCTAGTAAAGGCCCAGTCATATACTACTAATAAGGCGGGGTAAGGCATTCCTTAATACTGCTTATAGAATTATATATATTCGGTAAAAAGCGCAATTAAATATTTTTTATTGCGCTTAGTTACAGTTTAAAAACTATTATTCATAATAATAAAGTAATACCTTTTTGCGCGATTTCCTATTCGCAAAATCATCAACTACATTGACGTATGAAATCTTGTTCATTAGTTCTGACTCTATGATCAAAAGAGCAAGATAAATCTTGGATAATTTTTCACCCAATTCAAGCAAGAAAAGCCTCCTTATCGAAACAAGCTGGTGTAGAGGTAGAACTATGCGAACTGCAATTAATTATATAAATTTTGGATAAACGTTTTGCAAATTTTGTCGCAGGAAAGAAGATAGACTTCAGTAATCCAGAATATGGTTTGCTCAAAATTCTTTCAGAAGAAAGCCGACATTCAAAATGAATGAATGATGGCATTCTTAAAATAAGTCTTGTCTCCAATACATTTCTTTCAAGAAAGGGGCTTTTCCCGTAAGGGTCGATGATGACAATCCACTCATTTTGGTTAGAAATGAAAACTTTTTCATTTCATTAAACCCGTTGTAGGCCTCCTGCCGTTTTTTTTAAATTCGGATACGAGTCTATCAGTGAGGATGAGATAATATGTGATAATGCTGTAAGATTCACTCGTAGTCATTTTCATTTCTTTATTGGGTGTTTCATATTTTTTTTTCCTTTTCGGTTGTCTTTTTACCCCCATCTTTTATATTTTACTACTTCGTTCATTTAAGAAAAACTTGCAAGAAGAGTGATCGAACCTACGTTAGAAGCCTGAATTTATACATTCACTTAGTTTATTCTTTCCAAAAAAAACAATTTACACAACAATCATTACCAATGTTTCAAGTTTTTCTAAATTCAAAAGTATTCCCGTCGCTTCGTTTTTCGCTACAGGCTTTTTGGTACAATCATTCTCGATTGATTCCAAAGTTTTAAGGACATCATGCCAAGAATTTCTTAAACTTCTAGCCGCATCCTCTTTAGCTGACCAACGTGTCGGATTTATTCTCTTAGGCATTTTCCCTTTTCAAGCATTGTGTTGAACTTAAAAAAAATACGTCTACCACGTAATCTACGTGGTAGAGCCATGCTGCAGCTATATTATGGTTGTAGCACGAATGGGTCGGCTCGAACGGGGAAGGACCACGCTCTCACAGATTACCAGCGTAAAATAGCAGCTTAACGCTGCTGTGTTTCGTATGGTGAGTGTAGAGAACCGGAGACCCTTTTTACTGACAAAGAGGCATTCCATCTTAGTCCTCACGGGTGACAACGCATCTGCATCTTGAGTCTTTATTGAGGATAGATGTAGATGTCTATGGGTCACAGTAACCACTTACCATCGGGTGAACTGTGTGCTCGTTTGTCACCCGATCCTATAAAAAAAAAACTTAGATTTTTGAAGCAACATGAAGAAGCGACAAGCTTCTGTGCAAGATTCAGCAGGCGCAGTTGTCAGTAAATTTAAAGAGTGGACAGAGCAAAAAATGAAGAAAGCAAAAGGTGCTTGGCTTTGAAATTTAGCCAGTAGTAAGCCATTGTACACACCAGACATGTTCCCGACATTATCATATGATTGTCCATGACAGTTTTCTTATGATTGTCAACATTTATGACCAGTGTTTTGAGTTCCGAAATAATGGCAGAAAACATTTCTTCCGCTTTATGCGCCACTGAGAGCAAAAACTTGAGAAATCTTTCACTGGTTTCGTCTGTTTCCAAAACGTAAGTTCTAAAATGCAAGTTGGTCCACATTTGCACATATCTGGTATTAAATCGATGCTAAGGACAAATATTTCGCCCTTAGTATCTCTTCTCCAATCTGAACTTTATCACCCATCAAGAGAATAAACTCATCGCATTTTCTTATAAGTAATTTTTGGCTTTTGATAAGTAATTAGTACTTCCAGATTCTTGATTCCCAAACCGTTATATGACTGGATAAAAAAAAAGGTTCGAATTGAGCTAACAGTTCCAAAATTATAAAATAATTTTCATTATGCACATCACCGAATTTTCATTTTTTCTCCTGAAAGTGAGGCCTCTTGAACACAGTCGTTTCACTACGGTAACAAACTTCTAAGAACGTTTCTCCAAAAATAAATTTCTTCATCAATCTGGACATGCAGTAAATTATCGTGTCGACCATCACTTCTAACTTTCAAGCTAAGGATACTAGATTTATATCGCGCAGAGTTTTCATGCTAAGCTACTCGATATTCTGCATTTTTCAAGTCATTAAATTCTTCGTTCTCAAACTGAGTCTTATTTTTCGATGGACCGAATGTCAAACAGGGCCCATAATATACTGATTTTTTACTACATAATAAACCAGTCAATTCCAATCATTATTTTTCATTAATTTTTCATTGGAAGATACTTACTGGCAAGAAACGACGCTGATCAGCATATACTTTTTCACTTTTAGAGAAGTCACAAGACTTGTTTTGATCGAGGCCGTACCTTGCGATAATCTCCCTTACGGTATTGTTGATTTTCCATAAAGCTGGAACTTTCTTTAGATTTACTGCTGTTTGCACTCGGTTATTACTTAACTTCTGATTCTGAGACGCATCTTCAATTGTTATACTTATTGATGATTCCTCTCCCGCCTCTTCGTCAAAAACATAGATATACGTTTTTTTTTAAAGTAGATCGTTCAACAGATGACTTTGATGTGTTGTATGTTTCTTCTGTTTGTCTCAAATCAAATCTGTTTCATCTTTTCCTGATTGTATTGTGGCAGTGCATATTTGAAGTTCCTGGTCATTTAACACTACTTCTAATTCCACTTTAAAAAAAGCTGTCGATTTTATCACTTTACCGATAATCTATTCTTGTTCTTTTTTTTTTCATTTTGGTCTTCTTTTTATACTCAGCTCCACTGTCGCATTGTTCCATCACAAATTTTTTTTTATAAAAAAACTAAAATAAAAGAGATTTTATTTCCTCTCGGGAGTACCGCGCTCATGTAGTCAATTCGGTATTTCGATCAGACACTTAGCAAATGGTCATGTCACTCGTTCCTGCGCCACAATTAAACGCGATTACGCAAAATGTAGTAACATTTATGTAAATGGTGAAACATATTACATGTTAAATTGTTTATGGACCTAATAACATTTAGGTATATAAATATGAAGCTTTTAATTTCTGCAAAACACAAAAAAATTTGGTCCTAAATTTGCCGCCCCTAAAATCTGCCGCCCTGGGCTCCGGCCTACTCGTACGTATACGTAACGTCAAAATTTATCCTAAACGGAAATAATGCGACGCAGCAAAACGACCCAACGCTGCCCCGGCGCTCCCCACTCCACCGCGCTCGATGCGTCACTGATCATTGATCACAGTCACAGTCCTCACTGGTCCTCACTCAATGTCACTCAACGTACCGAATTCTTTGACCCTTTAGCTATCGACTGATGACATCACTCGCACACAAGGCATATAATATATATATATATATATGTAGCTGCAACACCAAACTGTATTCTGAATTAACTTCCACTACGGATGCAAATTTAAAGATTTATTCATATCATAAAATGTGATTGCAAGATATTGTGACCAGAATTTGGAAAAAAAAATTATTCGGTGGTTTGGACACATAGAAAGAATGAATGAGGAAAGAGTGACAAAGCAAATTTACGCTGCAAAAGTGAGTGGTAGAGCCAAGCGGTAGCTTCTGCTGTTGCACGGATGGGCCAGCTCGAACCGGAGTGGTACCACGACCTCACAGAATACCAGCGTGAAGTAGAGGTTTACCTCTGCGTTGCGCTTTGTGAGTGCAGGTGGCCGGAGGCCCGATTCCCCCCCCCCCCCATCACCATGGTAGTGGAATTAAATAAAAGACTACCCCAGGAGGGTACCAGCACCCCTGGAGAATCCCTCGCTGAGCATCCACGACCAAACTATTTCACTCTTCTGGGGGGGACAAAATTCCGCTCGCGACCAATGCTGCTCGGGGCAAGCGGAGCAATATAACCAAGGCGACCCCTGTCACGCTATCCGTGAATTTTGCAACATCAGGGGACTTCATTCCAACCTTAACGATGTCCATTACCATCTAGAGACGGCGAAGCCGGCCTTGCTCTTTTTAACCGAGACTCAGATGTCCTCTCCGGCTGATACTTCATATCTCTCCTACCCGGGGTACAAATTGGAACACTCCTTTGTGCCCCGGGCTGGAGTTTGCGTATACGTCAGAGAGGACATCTGTTTTAGACGCCTCGGCAGTCTTGAAGGTACGGACCTGTCCATCCTATGGCTGCGCGTAGACAGCGACGACCATCCCCGCGTCTACGGGTGCCTCTATAGGTCCCATAGCGGTAATGCCGACACAGACCGACTCATCGACCACGTCCAAATGGCTGCAGACTCCGTGCTACAACAGGTGCCATCCGCAGAGATCGTGATACTCGGTGATTTCAACGCCCACCACGCGGAATGGCTTGGTTCTCGTTTAACCGATCATGCGGGTAGATCAGTCTATGACTTTGCTTTGGCATATGGTCTAACACAACTGGTTACTTCGCCTACGCGGATCCCAGATGTGGAAGACCATGTACCTTCCCTGTTGGACCTTCTGCTGACCTCTCATCCGAACGGATATCAGGTCTCCGTCGATGCCCCTCTGGGCTCTTCGGACCATTGTCTGATTCGGAGTACGGTGCCACTCACGCTCCAATCGCAGTTGCGATCTGCAGCTTGCCGCCGTGTTTGGCACTATAGGTCAGCTGATTGGGACGGGATGCGGTCTTCTTTTGCATCCTACCCTTGGGGGCGGGTTTGCTTGTCGTCGGAAGATCCCAGCGTTGCTGCCGATTCTGTTGCTGATGTGGTACTTCAGGGTATGGAACTTTTTATTCCATCCTCTGTGGTGCCCATCGGAGGCAGATCCCAGCCATAGTTTGGTCACTCCTGTAAAATAGCATCACGCTATAAGCAGGAGTGCTACCGGGCCTGGACTGACGCATCAAGGTCTCGGGATGTAAACACCAGCGCACTTAAAAAGAAGTATAATTCCGCCTCCAGGTCCTTCAAAAGCGTCATTGCCAAGGCAAGGTCTGAGCACATCGGCAGAATTGGCGAGAAGCTAGTTCGCCTTCCTTCGGGAACCCGTGCATTCTGATCTCTCGCCAAGGCTGTCCAAGGGAACTTCTGTCAGCCATCTCTTCCATATCTGCACAGAGAGGACGACTCACTGGCCCATGCCGCAAAGGAGAAAGCCGATCTGTTGAGCTCTCTTTTTGCGTCCAACTCGACTCTAGATGACGGGGGGAACACACCGCCGACCATCCCGCGATGTGAGTGCTCCATGCCGGATGTGCGAATTACACAGCGCTCGGTTCGCAAAGCACTCTTCTCCCTGGACGTCAGCAAGTCGAGTGGGCCCGATGGAGTCCCTCCCATTGTGCTGAAGATGTGTGCTCCGGAGTTGTCACCGGTTTTAACGCGTCTTTTCCGGTACTCCTATTCCCAAGGCATAGTCTCGAATTCATGGAAGACAGCTTTGGTCCACTCGATCCCTAAAAAAGGCAACCGCTCAGACCCGTCCAACTACAGGTCTATCGCCATCGCCTCCTTGTTCTCCAAAATAATGGAATCCATTATAACCTGCCAGCTCATGAAGTACCTTGAGGATCACCAGCTGATTAGTGACCGCCAGTACGTTTTTCGTCGAGGTCGATCAGCTGGTGATCTTCTAGTCTACTTAACTCATAGATGGGCGGAGGCAGTAGAGTCCAAAGGGGAGGCATTGGCCGTTAGTTTGGACATAGCGAAGGCCTTCGATCGGGTCTGGCACAAAGCGCTTCTTTCGAAGCTTCCTTCCTATGGGCTTCCCGAGAAATTGTGCAAATGGATCACCAGTTTCCTTGCAGATCGGAGCATCAAGGTCGTAGTAGACGGTGCATGCTCTGATTTCAAGCCTATCAATGCTGGTGTTCTACAAGGCTGCGTGCTATCACCAACGCTGTTTCTCCTGCATATCAATGATATGTTGCTAACTGGTAGCATTCATTGCTATGCAAACGACAGCACTGGTTATGCCTTATATACCGGCCGTGCTAATATTTCTCGGGAAAACGTCGCCGAGTACCGGGACTAACTTGTGTCTGAAGTAGAGTCTTTGCTTAACAAAGTCTCGGATTGGGGCCGACTAAATCTAGTCCAGTTCAATCCCCAGAAGACACAAGTTTGCGCGTTTACCGCTAAAAAGAACCCCTTTGTCATATGGAATCAATTACCGCCAGCGAATTTTCCGGACCGATACGACTTAGGAACCTTCAAGAAAAGAGCTTACACCCTTCTAAAAGGCCGGCAACGCATCTGCAATTCCCCTGGTGTTGCAGTTGTTCATGGGCGGCGGTAGTCACTTACCATCAGGTGAGCCGCATGCTCGTTTGCCCCCTATTCTTAAAAAAAAAACATCAAATTTGCGATATTTTGAAAATGGGTTAATTTCAGAGTATATAGGTACGTAGATGGTTGTGGATGGATGTGAAAGAAGCGAAAGAGCTGTCAGTATCGTGCCTAGTGGTAGTCCGTAGAGTAGAGTAGTGACGAGTCGTCTATGTCTGTATATATAATTATGACTGCCCACTAAGCTACACCGAATAACGTTGTAGTACTTACGTCCGCGGTGCGGAGACTTAATGTACGAAACTTAAAATGAAATATCGAACGCGATAAGCAACAGTATCCGCTATTTGCACTCACCATATGTAATATACCACCAATAGAAAAGTGACTGTTAAAAGCTAAAGAAGTAAAGCCGGTCGAATATAAATAATAACCCCTGGGAATGAGGTGATCGCTTCCAAGCTGTTTCTAAAATAAATTTTGTACTTATATATTTGTACAAACATTAATGTAAAATTTGCTTTTAAAAAAAGTCCCTCTGGGTTTCTTACTGGTTCTTCCCAGGACAGAGGTTTTTTTTCGAACCAGTGGTAAAGTAAAAAATGACATTCAATAAGAATTACACATGTGATTTATATTGAATAAAAAATTATTCTATTCTATTCTATTCTATAGTAAATACCAATTTTGGGGAGTTTAACTAACAAAAATAAAGTTATTGAAATAGTTATTGATAAAGCCTGCCTAGCTATATATTTATTACAATATATATTCGCAGTTATGTGCCTATTATATTATGCTTGCCAAACATAGTGATTAATGCAGATCGTCCCTAAAACGAGAAAAGTCCCATCTTAAGTCATCAACTTCTACATACTAAAGGGGAATAAGAAGCACAAGTTTAAATAAAATGCAAAGAATCCTTAAAACCAGTTGTATTCAACAATCTAACAGAAACCCAACTTACTACAATGATTTATTGATAAAACGAATTTATTGTTTTCCAGTACTGGGATCGTGTTCAACAGGAGCACGAGCATCATGCACTTCTTCTTTCCCAGATCTGTTTACGTAACGCAGAAGCAAGAAACTGTGATATCCCTGATCAGCTTAACGTGTATGTATTGAAGTTGAATAATATTATAATAACGAATCATCATCATCATTACAGCCCTTCACAAGTCCACTGCTGAACATAGGCCTCACCCAAGGAACGCCACAAAGCACGGTCCTGCGCCACCTGCATCCACGAATAACTTATATAATGTATTACTTAAAAGTTAAGAATTTAGGTATTATGTTCGATCAGACTTTGTCTTGGGGACCGCAAGTGAGTGAAATAAGTAGAAGAATGTTTGTCGCAGTTGGTTCACTTCGAAGATTACGCAATGTTCTCCCCATTCCTACTAAAGTTGCGCTGGCTCAGTCTCTTCTTTTACCGATCCTTTACTACGCGGATACTTGTTATCTTGACTTAACAGTCGAGCAAATTAATAAACTTGAGCGACTTCAAAATTATTGCATAAGGTTTATATTTGGGTTACGAAAGTATGACCACATATCCGAATTCTGCCATAAGCTCAAGTGGTTACCGATTCGCCTTCGCAGGAATACTCACATTCTTCATCTTCTTTACTGAATTCTGTTCAATCCAACCACTCCTTATTTGAAAGACCGATTTATATATTTAAGTAGTTTACACTCTTTATCTCTACGATCTCAAAATAATCTCCTTCTAAGTACTCCTAGACATTCCTCTTCCTTCTAATCTAATTCTTTTACAGTTACCGCTATACGACTATGGAATTCTCTCCCCTTACATATTAAAGAATCTAAATCTCTTCCTATATTTAAAAATAAATTAAAACTTATTTATTATTACCTTTCCTCTTAAGTTACTACCTGTCGTCATTCTCTTTTTTTTTCCTTTAATCACTAATGTTCTTCTGATTATCTTTCTATATTATATTCTGTACACCCCTTCCGCTATCCTTTAAAAATAGTATCCTCTGCCCTAAGGTTGCCTGGAAGAGATCGCTGGTTTAGCGATAAGGCCGCCTGTTGTACCAATGTCCCTTTAAATATATAAATACTGTAATATGTTCCTTGGTGTACAATAAAGTATATTTTACTTTTTACTTTACTTTTACTTGTTGACGATTGGACCTATAAGTCTGGAACTTATAGGCCCGGTGTCTACGTGAGATTTATATGTAATAAAATAATGTGTTAACTGTGTTACTTGTCTAAAATGTCGTAAAAACGACTAATGGGATATCGATTTTCTGATTGAGTAGGCCATGGTCTAGCCCCCAGTCACTTTTGACCGCTAGACCCAACAATGTGTGTCTTTGCTCAAATCAGGGCTGAGATTAGAACCTAGCACCGTAGCCAGGGCCAGGGTCTCGTATCATTAGGCTATGGATCTACTCTTTCTGTAATAATATGATGATATAAATAAGTGAAGAAGTTCATATATTTACAATATTGGCAATTACATAAAATTTATAACAGTGTAAAGCGAGTTACACACTACGCAGATAAGTTGTGTCTCGCCAGCAACGCAAAGTCAGGAATGCGTATTTAGAAAACCGCCAAAATTAGGGGCTTTTTGGGTGCTAATTAGGTGCCAAGATTAAAATTTAGGTGCTCTAAAATTTTCACGGTAACGAGCTGTTGAAATTTGCGTTGCTGGCAAAACGTATCGCTAGCAATGCAGTGACGATAATAGATATACGATAAATATTAATAGCAAGGAATTAAGTGCAAATTAGTGCTGTAGGTATAGGCCAATGACAGGATTTTTTTATTATATATAATAAACACGCTGTAAAATGGCAGATTGAATCAAACACTTTTTTTTGGAATTTTTGAAAATACAACTTTGTGGTAATCTGCCCCTATGTCAACCCCTTCAGAAGTGCCTGCCATTTTTTTTTCTTAATTCTTTATCAACTTAACTGAAGGATAGTCATTATTATTATTTGAATTTAACAGTGGTAGAGCCACGCGGCAGCTTTTGTTGTCGCACGAATGGGCCGGCTCGAACCGGCGTGGTACCACGACCTCACAGAATACCAGCGTGAAGTAGAGGTTTACCTCTGCGTTTCGCTTGGTGAGTGCAGGTGGCCGGAGGCCCTTTTTACTGGAAATAAGGCATTCCATTTTAGTCCTCACGGGTGATAAGTGACAACGCATCTGCATTTTGATTCGTAAACGAGGATAGATGCAACCACTTACCATCAGGTGGACTGTGTGCTCGTTTGTCACCCTTATCCTATAAAAAAAAAATCAAACACTTTTTGGGCATTTTTTTGCGACTGACCTGTATGCGCAGTACCAGGTGTACCTAGGTAGGCCAGGCAAACAGTAATATACCTGCTTATTAAGTGGACTGGTACTTATTAACAAAGTTTCATGATGCATCAAACACTTCATGAAAAATGCGTCATGAGCTCTCGGACCAAAATATGGCATAGGATTTTAACTGGAGATAAATACAGGATGCTCGCACTGAGGCTTTATATGACATTATATTAAACAACTAACCGACTAACTAACTAGACTGAAACAGGTGAAAATCTGAGGGTGAGGGTTCTGATCTGAGTCAGGACTATACGGTGGATTCATAAACACTTCCCAACCAAGCTCTCTCAATTTTTGCTGAGAGGCCAAAAATGTGTGTGGTCTGCTACAGTAGTATTACAGTGTCTAATTATTTTTATTAACACTTAACAGCCAATTTAGGCGGTGTGTTCGGACTCTGTCTGGGTTGCAGTTTCATCAGCTTGATCGAGATGTGGTTTTACATTTACATGGCTATAAAAGGTTTCATACGGAAGCAACTCAATATCAGACATGACCGTCAGCGAGTGGGTTACTTCAACTGAATACTAACGTATTACAACACCAAGCAGCAAACTAAAATACAATATGAAGTATTAATTCTGACACCACAATTTTTCTCATTATTTTTACATATTGTTTAATTTTAAGAAAAAAAAATATTATTATATGGATCAATTGCAAATGTTATTAATTTTGTTTTTTTAAATTAGTCTGTAATAAAAAATGTTGTACCTATGTAATAGTTTTATATTGTGTATTTTATTGCATTTACTCAGTCCAACAAAGACGGGAATGCTGCGTTGCGTACATTTCAATTTTAAACTGACACCGAAAACATGTTCAACTTATTGTAAGAACTCATAGGTACGCATAATATGCATCTAACATCATTTGCAACCAGTGAACACAAATCTTCGTTATTTGCTTTCGCTGTTATAACCAACAAAATGGTTTAGGTGTATTTGTGTGGTTTAGGTACCGACTTTTATTTATTCTTTGCTTTTACGAGCTGTTAAAAAAGAAAGAAAAAAACGTGTTAAGAAGTTGAACATGGTTTCAACTTCACATGAAATGTATGTAGAAACGGTACGACCACCTTTATTACCATGCACAGGAGGCACACACGGACACAGAGAGTTAAATAAAATCCGTAAATTAATGTGTAGGTAGTGTTCCCAGAATTATAAGAAATATGATTAACTTTAAATGATTTAATTACGAAATTTCCATTCTCTAATTCAATAAGTATTACAAAATGGCAATATTAAGTTCAACTTCTTACGCACCACTTGGAATTCTAAGTTCAAATTAGTGTCATAAAAGCAATGACTATGATTTCCATCCATGGCAAAACATCAGTTTGTGCCATTATTTAAAAACAATTTATATTACTAAGTATTTCAGCGACTATGTCAAGCTGAATTGTAATAGTAACGTTTAAAACTATTCTTCCTTCCTAAAAAGTCTAAGTAGATACATACTTACTAAAAAGTTCTGCAAACACATATCTAAAAAATATCTGCGATGCGATGGCTTTATCCTTACACATGGCTATTTAAAAGAGGGAAAGGCGGCAATGAGGATGAAGATGATGTTGTTTTATGATTTGGTATTGTCACCAATCATCATGTCCCCTCTGTTGAGGTTTATTGAGCTATCTAACCGCTGTTCGAGTGGGAGTGTGCGCACTCCCGCATCTGACTACCTAGCTCGTGTCGGTCGATGTAAACAGTACAACTGAAAGCACATGACCTACGCAAATAAGACCTTGCTCCAAATCTATGCACAGTACCGTTGTATAACTTTTTTCTAATCAAAATGTATAAATGATAATCGCACACTATTATATGATATATAATGTTGTATTAATTCACTTTGATGTATACACAACACTATGCTTTTATGACACTAAAAGTCAAATATGGTCTAAGTGTCTTTCTTCTTGTAACGTAGGTATAATAAACAAGTGGTCTTTTTAAAATTTTGTACTAAAAATATTAATATATCACGTATATTGTCATCCGATTCTGAGCTATGTCCAAAATTTCAGCTCTCTAGCTCTAGCTCATCGGGAAGTGTTTCATATATGATTTGCAAAATGGCTCAAATGGTGACGGCTACGTGGCGCAGTGGCTTAGCAATGAGTTGTGGCGCTGGGTGCCGCGGGTTCGATTCTCTCCGGGTCTGGATGTTTGTCCTTGTGCAATTTATGTTTGTAAACTGCCTCCACGATACAGGAGAAAACCCTAGTGTGGGGATAGTCTTCTAAAAAAATAAATAAAAAAATCCACCCGGGACGACAGATCAACAGACAGATAAACAAGAAAATGTCTTAATAATAACGTGAGAAAATGTTATACCTCATAACAAAAATAGTACCTGTAATTATGTGATTTTTGCCCAATAAATCATTTAGTCCATCAAAATGGCTGCATTATTTTACTTTTACCTTGAAATTTTGTAAATAATCGATTAATTGCGTTTAATAAGTGTAAAATGATAAGGTAAAATTTTTGAAATAATTAAAACCCAACATTCTGGTGTACGTAAACAAATTTATATTTTCTGATTTACATATATAATATTTGACTACAATCCGTTTTTAATATTCAAATAATTTTATCAAATATATTGCTTTGCTAATTTTCATGAAAAAATACAAAAGTATTCTACAATTGCGATAAGAAAAACTTTCTAGAAAAAATCACCTCTCACTTAACATCTAAAATGTTCATATTATGCGTAGTATTTCATATTTCGAATGTAGCCTACTATAGTGAAAAAATGTCGTTTATAAAAAGTGCGAAACCTCGCCGTTTGCGCACGTCGATGACACTGAATACACAATTACAATATACATACTAAATAAATACTCCATTTTACTCGCCGTCTAACCCAATAATACTTTAACGGAAATAAATGGCGGCTAAATCTATTATATCTAAAATAACGACATAAATCAATTTTTGGCTTAGATTTTAATTAAAACTACGATAAAGCACATAAAAGTAATAATTTGGTCTAAGTTATGCGTATTATAATTAAATTGTTAAGTGCCTTAATCTAATTATTGCCTTATTCTATCTACATGATGTTTTTATTAATTCCAGGAGTCGTTAATAGTACAAATATCTAAATGACTCATGCCCCACGAAAGTAATACAGACAAGTGAAAATATACATTATACAAGCGTATAACAAATTTACTGTAGAGTAAAAAATATAGTTTTCCTAAATTTTAAAGTTTATGCGCTTTATTTGTGATATATAAATAATCGAATACTTAATATTAGACGGAGAGCGCATGAGTCAATTACACAATAACAGAACGCCTCCCAAAGGCGGAGAAGCGAATCACTGGACGTATCACAAATTCCTTAACATTAACAATCGTTAAATAACACTACCAGTACCTAATTCAATGGAACGGTAAGACTTTACATCGACATTGAGCTAACTTACATTCAATATATTAATTATTTCTTTAAGTATTATTTATTGCTGTTAGTCGTATGGTTAACTTAATATTTCGTATTCTTTAATTATTGTATTTCCGAGAGTAGACGTAGTAAATGGCACGAAGGTTATTATGACAAGATACTATAGGACCATACAATTTTGTGCCGTTGCAATTCGTACAAGTTGTAAAAGAGATCTTTTACACAACATACATATATAAAAATACAATTTCCTAGTCTAGCCTCGCTAGATTAAGCACAACTCGAAAGAAATCCCTGAAATGCTTTAAATAAAACTCTGTTTTATTTTTACATCACAATTATTATTTCTGCTGAAGTACACATCTATTGTATAAAAAATATTTTCTCCGTATAGAATACTAAAACAGCTCATCAATTGACTTTTGTGAACTGGCAACACTGCCACTATACAAGTACGTTACAATAAGACTACTTTAATAATAATATTATAAATACAAAGCACATAGTGAGCAAGTAACATTACTTAAATACGAGAGCTCCGCAATAAGTTATAAGAGTGAAAGTTGATCGCCGAAATCAGGAGCTTGAAATAGAAATTTTAGAAAAACAGCTCCAAGAAGAATTCTATATATAAGTATGGAAGATAGTTAAGAATAGTTAAGAAGGCAGAATTAAAACGAATAAATAAGTATTGCGTAGTCTCACATCACGAAACTCGTTGCACGAACTAGGTTCGTTAGGCGCCGGCCGTTACGTCACACGTAGGGCCCAATAAGGCACGCGCATTAAACTTTACTAGATATATATAAACGATCGGAAACCGCCTCCCGACAAATGTACAGATATAAATCCACTTTCGAAGTTAAAGACCAACCACTTTGCGATATTCTGAATAAAATATAATATTAAAAAAATACTATTTTATCTCCTTATTGGAGGGATGCGTTAGTTTACAATCGGTAAACTTCAAAAGTTGAAGATACAAAGACCATTTAAAATGGTATTAAATATTTCCAGTAGCTAAAAACTACTTTCAAGTAACAATGAACAGCATAAGTTATTAAATTGACAAAACACGTTTTTTCCTCTTTAAAAATTTTCGTAAACAAGACTGTTTTCAGTCAAACAGTCAAATCACAAAATTATTGTGATACAGAAATATGTACTAAGTATTATTTTCTCACAAATTACGATAATACAAAAAAAACCCGGCAAGGGCTGGTAACAAGCACAAAGTGACGTCACAGATCATATACTACGATAGTAGACGCGGCAACAGCATTGTAATCAAATCTGACAGTATACACGTATAAGTCCTTAAGGCTTGAGTGATTAGTTCGAAATTGGCGTGCCGCGTCCCCGAAACGGTCGCAGAGTGACAGAGGATTTTGTCCCTTCATAGGCTGGCTTCAAAGTCGAAGGCGGCATGTTCGTCTCAGAGGCTGACGAGGCTGCCGTGGTCGGGCGAGGCGAGGTCGGGCGCGGCGCGCTGCTGCTGCGCGCACGGGTGCGGGTGCGGGTGCACGGGCGTCAGGCCCGTGCCGCCCTCCATCAGGCTGTCAAAGTTGAAGGGGATGCCGTTGCTCGGCGTGCTGATCTCGATGCCGGCGATCTTGTTGTTGCCAAGCGCTTTGCTGTTGTGAATCTGGAACGGACATTGACACTAGTACTACAAGCATTTTCAACATTGAAATTATTGACTTTTTAACGAAATCTAATTCAGGCTGGTATATAAGAAATATTTCCACTGCCATCTATCGGCAACCATGAAATATATTGGCACTTCCCATACTTCATGTCACCTCTTCCTATACTTTGGGACACTGCACTGGTACGGATGGTGGATAGTGGATTCTCTCCATCTATCCCAGATACATTTCAATTCCCATGATCAAAACTGATAAAAAGTAATTTGTGCACTTCATAACTGAAGAAGACGAGTTTTCTTGGCGATTTTATCCCAATACTACCGGAAGTTATCAACCATATAAAATAGAGTAGTTTATGCGAAAACATCGACGCACTCAACATTCTATCCTTACCACATTCGGTGTAACACTTACGCAATAAGATCAGAAAGATTGAAGTGTATAATCATACCCAAACACGTAAAACACTCGTTTTTCTTTATGAACAAACTGTTTCACTCTAACTGGTTCTTTAATCACTAAGCCGGTGTCAAAGTCATTTGTGTTTATGAACAATACTATTATTACTATTAATACTAATACTAATTTTATTTCAGCAAAATACAATACTTGACTCCAGCTGGTTCTTTAGTGTCATAATTCACTAATGCCTAAATACTAAAACTTTAAGTTAAACTGACTGCGATACCACGAGACTTAACGACATCTTAAAATTTAGTAGCTTTTGAGTATTTGGCTATAAGCTGCTTGAAAGAAATGAGACAAATGTAATAGTTACCTGCGCAGGTGTGAGGCTGACGGGCACGTGTAGGAAGTTGGGGCGGTTGGGGCGCGTGGTGACTGGCGGCGTGTCCAGCGAGGTAACGCCGCTAGTCAGCACTGCAGGGTTCGCCGCCGACAGCATTATTCTGTAACAACGGATTACACACCATAAACAACTATTTTCAATGCTCTTGACATTTTAAGAAGCATAATTTTTATACTTTTCATTTGGGAAAGGGAATGCTCCCCAGTACAGTTCAACATTTTTAACTACCCCCTCAAGAAAGTTAATGTTTTAAGCCGGCAATACATGTTGGCATGGTACAAATTGATACAAGGCGAGTGTTAGTCTACATGTTAGCCAAGTTTGAATGAGTGAACATACTGACATGGCCAACTAAAATGTGGACACAAATTGCCGAGTGCATGCAAGAGTCTTTGATTTGTGCAGAAGAACCGACACTGTTCCGAAATGAGACAAGTCGTGGCGAGCGATACCTTGGCAAGACACGCCAAACGAACCGTATAAACGTTGGCTCCCGGCTGCACTCACATATGGACAGAACGTGAGGCTAAACTAATAATGTTCTGTCCATATGTTGGTACTCGCCTTTGCTCAGCCAACATGTCTAGCCGGCTTTATAAATAAGTACTAGCGACCCACTTGCGGCGTCTCATTGGTTACCCTCAGGGTGCGGAACCCTAAAAACGAACAAATATATATGGGGGCCACTCACCATCTGGTGGACTATATGCTTGTTTGTCACCCCTACTACATATAAAAAGTCATGTCGAGAAAATAAATTACCGTTTGAAATTGATCTTAATCGTTGAAGTCGTTCAGAAGTTAAGCTATCACTAACCGACGATCAAAGACCCTACAAAAATAATAATACGTAATATTTTATAGAAAACAAAGAGTATTCAAGCCATGGCTAAATTTTATACTAGATAAAATCATCTTTATAATTCATAATAACCATTTTATAATCTAAATGTAATAATTTGTCTCAACAGCGTGCGGATCCAATACATTCGGCATGCCCTATCAGTTTCTCACGAATGTGCAAAAAAAACTTCGTGTATATGCAACACTAAAACTGGTTTCGAGCTGCAGCCTTATTGTAAGACCAGCAATTCCATTTTATTCGCGATGCCTTGCTCGATCGCAACAATATATTTAAATGAATCTTTGCATCCGGTCTGATTTGTAAGTAGCTCTGCTCCGATCGATTTAAATTAGTAAGTCACAAAATTAACCTGACACTATATAATAACCCTTAATACAGTGTGTATAAAGGTTCAAACTCATTGACCCTAGGTATTTAAAGATCAGATTTCCTTATATAATACAAGGAAATCTGATCTTTAAATACCTAGGGTCATATATATACATATATAGATAATATAAGGAAATTTTTGTAAGGATCTAATCAATACAAAAAGTTTAAATGTGATGTAACCGAATCAAATAGCAGATTAATTTTACTGATTAGGCTAGGCTATCCAATTGTTGCCACAATTCTTTTCAAAGTTTTAATTAGAGACGCGATTTAGCTGAAATTATTCATAATCATCATCATCATCATCATCATCATTACAGCCTATCACAAGTCTAATACTGTCGTAAACATAGAACCTCTTCGATTAGTCAATTCATAGAGGGGAGGGGAGGGAGGTGTAGCCTAACACTTATAGCTTGCCAGTGCAAGCCTGCTCCTCCAGAAAGTTTTTCTTTTTGAAGACAATATAGTGTTTTGTTAGTAAAAATAAAAAAAATGAAAAGACCGCTTACCTTTTGTCATTCGTCGGCGATGTGAAGATATCATTATCTAACCCGAGCACTGGATCAACCACGGGGTCCATCACTTCCACTTTCACACGCACACCGTCTTCAGGCACGTCGGGATACGCGTATGGATCCTGGAAGGGTTTCACATCGGGCGGACTCGTGGAACGCTTGTTGAGCCGGCAAGACTGCAGATGGTTCTGTAGCAAGGCCTGCAGGTGTTCACGGTCGGCGTTCAACTTGCGGATCTCGTCTTGCAAGGACTGTTTCTTCTCCTCGAGTTTGTCGGTCTCCTCCTGGAGCTCGTTGGTGTGGTCTAGGCGTCGCTTGCGGCAGCGGGCGGCGGCCATTTTATTGCGCTCGCGTCGTATCTTGCGGCGCTCCTCCTCCTCGGGGGTGAGGTCTTGCGGCGCTTTGGTTGGTCGGCGGCCGCCCATGTTGCGGCGCTTGGGCGCGGGCAGGCTCGGGCTGCTGCTGCTGTCGCTGGTGGAGAGCGGGCCCGGCGACACGTGCAGCGCCGTCGTCGGGCCCGACTCGCAGTACCCCACCGTATTCAGGATGCCTGCAATTTAAAATTAACAACATGAAACAAACTAATACCAATCAGTTCGTAAATAAAAGTCTCTCCCATAATTGGGAGGGTTATAAATCAGGACGAGACCGCCACGCTTGTTAAGTACCTACGTATCGGCAATTTTTACAACACTATAGTAATAAAATGTTCAATGGAGCTTTAATTATGATGCTTGTAGGTAATGTGGCATACGTACGAATACGAGATGGTTATTGCTCTACTGATTGCCTTGGCATTTTTCTGATTTCTACAACCCTACTCCACAACAAATAATATTAGGATCTCACTGACATTCTCGCTATCATGAACAGCCTGTTCGTTATTTGAATGTAATGTTTAAGAATAAAAATGTTACCAATATCAAAATAATTTTATGTTATTAATTAGATCACAGATAATATAAAGCTTGAAGATATATTGCATACACACTCGCGTAGTAAATGCTGTAATTTTTTTAATTATCAAGACTCATTACTCCATGTAGTTTATAGTCCACTTACCGTAATTGTTGGCGTGCGTGACGGAAGGTGGTACGAAGCCCGCGTGGTTGGCCTGCTCGCCGCGGCAGTTGGTGAGCTCGATGTATGTCTGCTCGAAGTTGCGCAGCTGGGTTGGAGTGATGGTCGCCGTCGTGCGGGTTGGTACCCCCGACTGGAGGCCCTCGAGGTTTGCCAACTGGAAAAAGGAAATTGAAGTTTCAGAAATCGAATGTTAAAAATATTGGAGTTGGTGTGACTGTATGTACAACAGACTGTATGTATACGACAGATTAAAATATTTACAAAGAGGCGTCGCAGTAGCGCAATGACTAAAGATTTAGTTGTGCCACCACCGGCCGCGGATTCAATTCCAGGTGGAACATGTATTGGAATGGCCTGTGAATAATTATTAAGTCTGGGTGTTTGTATGAGCAATACATAAGTTGCATGAGCATCATAGGGGCAATTTATGTATTTAAACGCCTCCATGATAAAAGATATATTTCTTGTGGGAAATCGCAAAAATTAGTGATAATTTTTGTATAATATTATCATTGTTATATAATATTATCATCATTGTATAATAATAACTAATATTCGCCGAAAAAACTAAAACAAGTTTGTTGCTTGAAATAACATCATCAACATATTATGATCATTGTAAAAAAAAAAAGTAGCATTATTTAATTTAGGAGGTAGTAAGGTGAACAAGAAAACAGCATAAAATTTACAATATGTCCGAGTGTTGCGCAATGTTAATGTTTATTTATTTATTATCTTGTTTAAGTTGCTTCCACATACCGGTCGCATTTTATCAGCGCAATATTTACAAGCAACTGGCACAATAACAACACGACATTTTAACAATATTATAACTTTCGCATCTTCGATAAACAGAGTTCAGACTGATCAATAAAGAATATTTTTTATCGACCAAAGTCTATACCTGATAGTAAGTATTTGTTTACTTGACCGGAATTAGTAAGTAAATTATAAAGAATACATTATTATCATTTTTTTTTATAAAACTGAAGTAGCAAACGAACTTACAATGCACCTGAGTTTTGGAACGAAGTTCCTCATCCGACGGTACGGGTTTGGCGAATGGGAGCTAGGCAACAAAAAGTGTAAGATTTTTTCGTCACTACCCCTTGTGTCATAGTGTTTTATTTTAAATGACACTTCATCTTAATAGATGCTAGTAATTCAGTTATTTGTATTTGTTAATCAACAATATATTACGTTTATCAATAATAATATACTTCGAAAGGGACTTCGTTCCAACAGTGTTCCATGACACTCACGCATGTATGTGTTTTTTATAGAGTAAAGGAGTCTAAACGAGTCGGTATTTGCTCATAGTCAACTCAGTCTCTGGTTATCTAAACGATACGCAGCAGCAATAAGCTGCTATTTCACTCTGGTATTCTGTGAGAGCGTAGTCCTTAACCGCGGTCGAGCCGACCCATTCGAGCTGCAATCATAATATAGCTGCAGAGTAGCTCTTACCATTAAATCTTTTTTATACATATTATATAAAGGAACTGCGTCCACTAGCTAATGCGCTAACTAAATTATACAAGTTGCAAGTGCGAAGTAGATAGTTCCTAACTACCATTAACAAGGCCATTCCACCAAATGATTTTGTGCCCTGATATTATTTCTAGTAAGTGTCCAAAGTGTAGAACTTTTGGTGCAGTGAATCCTTACGGGGTTTAAGGAAAAGAAACTAAGATTTTGCATGCGGGTGACTGGTCGGGCCACTGAGCCATACGGTAGTTATGATGTTTACAATCCTTTTGCGTTCGAAGCGCTCCGATTTATTTTTACGGACTCCATTGGGTTATCTTTGAACTAGTCAGTTAAGAGGCAACATCAACCTAATGACGTTATGTTAAAAACGTATACATAAATCTTTCACCTCGCCTTAATTTATATGGAATAATATAAACACCAGCTCTGACTAAGAGCATTTTTAAACTGACAAAATGGTCAGCTTTAAAACTCATTACTCATGTTTTCCTGGTACTACTTTAAGATAATGCATACACATTAATTAAATTCAATATATTTTATTAAGTTTTTTTTGAACCGATTCAACCAAATCAACAGCTTTCAAGTACTTTCATAGCTTTTCACAACTTAAAACAAGAAAAACTAGAGACGTTGAAAGCCATAAGAAATTCTTCTTTTGAGTGGAATATTTGGGCATGTATAAATACTGGCTTTATAGATAACATTGGAAACTATGCTTCTATGTGGCAAAATAGATCAAACTGTGGTATCTATCCCAGTTAAAACTGTCAAACAGAAAAGTGTTAGTGACATCATACTGTCGCAAACAAACGCACTTAGATGCAGTATGAGTGATACGAAGAGAATCAAAATATGTACTAAGCAACATGTATGTGATATCATAATATGATATCGCCTTATAATATTATAAAATATCGAATATATTTTAGACTACGAGTCAGCAACACATAAGAAGTAAAATAATATCGAAACATCACACAGAAAGAGTTTGTAACTAGGTACATCTTTTCCGAGACTTGCTAAGGTGAATTGTAGTGTATGATAAATCTTGATGCAATACTATATCCCTTCAAAAATAATGAAAACATTTAATCTCTGTATTGAGTTCTGCGTTCAAATCCTATTTAAAATGGCTTGTCGTCTGGCTAAACGTCTTAGGTTCTCTTGTCGTAAGCTTGACTTGGGCAATATCACAATTTTAGTCAGTAGGCCACTATTTACACCAATTATGAAGTTTGCCTTTAAACTTGAAATTGTAAAACTCGAAATTGTGCAACTGGAAATCTCAGTTCTGGGTTTTGTCTCGACACCCGGGCTCGAATATCTAGGAGCGAAGATTTAAGCATAAGTTGTTGGTGCTCTGGTCTGCAACTGATGTAATTATTTCCGCATTTTTTACGTTACATCATGTCCCATTACCGTTAAATCAGACACTGATAGGTGAGCGGAGCAAAGTGTATCTTTCTTTGCTATGCGCAAAGAAAGATACGTTTATGGCACTATAATATTTCCTACACAATTAAAAACAAGGCTGTGGCCTGCAATAAGAACATTAAAATAGTAATCAGAAAGAATCTTAGTGATCGAAGTTACAAGAGAATAACATTTATTATCAATTGCCATGTAAATATTCGAAACTGTGACACGGTATGAAGACACTAAACAGGTGTTCCAAGCTAAGTGAATTGACACGTCTCTGACCTACTTCCATAACTGCTCTACTTGTGTGAGAATGAGATAATTGGCATAAGATTAACATTATCATGTCGCCAAATTGTATTTACCTAATTGAGCTTTTCCTTATTGGCACACCACGTTATTATACTCGATGTGATGTGTGCTTTACCATATTTCATGCAAATAAATCATCATCATAATAAGCATCATATTTGGTTCTAATAGAATTTGGAAGTCCATTACAAAACGCCTTAGATGAATAAGAACCGCGTGGCTTTACCGGGTTTAAAGACAGCGAGAATACGTGTTGCTCGCGACGTTTACAGCGTCATACCTGCTGACACCACAGCTCGGTGGCCAGGATGTTGGCGAACTCCAGCGGATCAATGTTCTGCATCCCGAAGTCGCTCACTCAACCACGTTTATAATTAGACGCTTACTCTATTGTGTTGCGCTTTTTGCGACGCGACACCTTCGTGCGGTTCGAGTTAGTTAGTCGATTTGTTCGTTATATGCCGCCCTCGCAAAGTTTCGGTGTGTGGTGCAATCGATCCTACGCTGCACTGCCGTTCGATTTTCGAATCGTCGACACTTTTCGGTGTTGGTTCGCGTTTTCTTTGATCGGGATCGTCGGTTGCGATAGTTTCGCAAGTGCGGTTCGTTCGTTCGTTGCGCGCGCGTACGGCGTCCAGCCGCGACGGATCGCGCGCTACTGCTGTGCCGTGGCCCGCCCTCGCCGCCCGAAACGATCGCCCACGAGCGACGTCGAATCATATATTTATAGAACACTCCTCAACTCCGGAAATATTTCGCATCATTTCGCATCGCATGCTGTTGGTTATCTTAGATAAACGCCGACAGCCTAGAATAAGGCCGCAGCGCGACGCAACGCCTTATCATGACACCGTATGGACCACAGACATCTAAACAACAAACTGTCTAACTATGCGAGGGAAGATTTTCGTACTTTACATAATTTTAATCATTAAAAATTAAATAAATTATTATATTGAGTAATAAATTATATTTCTGGTGAAGAATCATGCTACCAAAGTACTTGACCAAACTAAACGAAACTTCAAAATGTACATATAAATTATTAATAAATTTTAAATCTTTTTTACGGTTACATATTCGTTATATAATATCAATTTCGGATAATGGTGTCAGACAGAAGCGTTGGCAGGCAAGTAGGCGGGAGGCTCGGCTGGACCTTGTGGCAAGGTCGGTTTGCATCGTAGGCGCTAAGCTCCTTCGAATGCCACCATAATTGGCATCGCCAATTTAAATTTCTTTAAACAGATTGTTATAACTTATTATACAAATAACGGACCATTTAAAGTAAAAAATCTAACACATGAAGAATTGGAAGTTACATAATATTCTCGTGACGCTACATGCAAATAATAGCTTTTTTTATAGAATAAGAGTGACAAACATGCACACAGTCCACTTGACGGTGAGTGGATGCTACGACCTACTATCTACATTTATCCTCAAAGTGTAAATGCGTTGTCACCTCTGAGGATTAAAATGGAATGCCTCGTTTCCAGTAAAAAAATGTCTCCGGTTCTCTACACTCACCAAATGAAACACAAGAATATTAAGTTGCTATTTTACGTTGGTATTCTGTTAGAGCGTGGTACTACCCCGGTTGAGTCGATCCATTCGTGCTACAAAAACCATAATATAACTGCAGCGTGGCTCTACCACGTATAAATAGCTTTTTGATATGAAAAAGCTTGAGCCAATCAATTATGCGTCAAATACGGAAAACCTTATCATCATTACTTAGAACGTACGAAAAGTGCTGAATTACAAAAAGTCGTGCATTTTTGTATTCCCAATTCGCCTAATATCGCGTATCATTTCTAACACATTAATTGATTAATGTGGTCTTTCTTTATAGAATAAGACAAACGAGCACATATTTCATCTGATAGTAAATAAATGTTATGGCCATAGATATCTAGACACATCTATCCTTGAAGGATCAAAATGCAGATGCGTGGAGACTAAGATAAATATTTTCATTAGTCTTATCCAAGTATTTTGTGCCTGCCCGAGTAGCGACGGCCCTACAAACGGGACTGCTGCATCGAACGAGGATTGATTTCGTCCACAATTACCGCTCAATCGTGTTATTCCTACGCTCATTACGCGCGGGACAATGCGCGCTCCGGAAGGCGGCCGCCCGGTCAATTACCACAATTGCTTAAATGAAATTCGTCTCAAACGGACGCGCGGGCGCACCGACTCTAATTGGTCACGGTGCTTACCTAGCAATTAACTAAACCTTATCTATTTACTTGCATTCCTCTGGTGTTGTCGTTAATTGCCGCATTGAGCTACTCTTTGTGACAGTTTTCTAAACGGCCTTTGGAATTCGGTCGCTCGGAATACTTCGTTCTAACATTGCAAAACATTAAAAAGAGACAGCTAGACATCATCTATTTTCTGTGATGTTGGTGCTCTTAACCTATGCGGCTCTTATAGCTTCATCTGACACAGAGCTCTACTATGCTCTCAGCTATTTAAAAAAAGGAAAAGGCAATGAAGATGAGAATAAGGATGAGGATGCTGATGATTTATGATTAGGTATTGTAACCAATCGACATGATCGCTCTCTTGAGGTTTTTTGAGCTATCTAACAAACAGCTAGACATGACCCTATCCCGTTGTAGGGAGGTTTTTCCTGAATCTTCACGTTTGGAAGGCGAAGTGACGATCGCAGCATCAGACGTCTCGCACCTTTGCCGCTGCTGCCCGTCGCCAGTCTTGGGATTTTACATCTGGCGTAAACTAGATGGTTATGCCACCATCAATCGGAAGCCATAGATTTTTCTAGCATATCATATCCCATAATCGTTTACTGCGGTTACCCCCGTTGTATAGTATATTATTACGCTATTATAAATTCAATGATGGTATAGGCAGTGATATAATATAATGAGGTAGTGATTTATACTATTATCGCGCTGATTAAAATGTAGGATGATCGATCTGCGGCTACGTGATGAGCACTCGCAGCATGATTCTAATGTTAATGAAGTGTTTTATAATAGTTAAATGCGATTATTGCCTGTTTAAACTCATATCAGAACGATGTAAATTTTAGTTTCAAATGTGTAGCATTAGGTAAAATTTCGGTTTTTTATTCAAAAGTTAAAGATATTCATTTATTAGAATTAAATTTGGAATCTTGACATATTTTCGAAAAAATAAATTAATGAAAAAAAAGTAAGAACTTGCGGCCAGTAGCCCAACGTTTAGCCACTAACTACTGAACCCTCTTATTTATTTGTTGATGTTTTTTTTTTCATTACACGTCAAGCAGATTGTAAATAATTAAATATTTTGACAAAACCATGTTTTATGACTAAAACTGGAACATTTTAACATATTTACAGTGTACTGAAAAGCAACTACTGGTGTCTTGAAAAGCAACCAAAGAAACGCCATAAATATTTCATGGCAGAGGTCAATGAGAGCATAAACTTTGATATTACCAAATTGTATATGCCAGATGTGAAATAACCAAACTGGTGACGAGGAGGAGGAACCTCAAAGGTGTAAGATAACCTATATAGGCCAATCTCCAGCAGCGAAAGATTGCGGGCTACTAAAGTTACAATAAAAAAAATTAATATAAAACACGAATGTTGTTTCTAGTTTTCTTTTTAATTCATAATGTGACACAACACAATGTTGGCGTTGGCGGGATATTATAATTAGCAAAGGCAGTAAGCCAACATCACTAAAACAATGGCCACGCGGTCTCGTCGAGTTCGGCGGCTCGTGAGGAGTAGTTATCCGTTAGCGTAGCTGAGTGAGATCACCTCTATATCTAGTCGTGACGTTGGACGCGCTTGAAGTAGGCGCCGTACTAATGGATACACGCAGCTTCAACTGCTTTGCGGCAATAAAGTAACGTCAATATAATAAATAAATAGATGAAAGTAACTAAACTTAAATACTGCGGTTTCCGAGTCGCCTCCTAAGCTATGGCAAGTAACCCCCCCCCCCCCCCCCCTCTATATATTTCTTTAATGTTTCATTTTTTGTTCTCTATCATTTAACACATATTTCATCCCTCTTTAATTTGATTTCACCGCTCTATTCTCAGATTACATACATCATTAAAGTGTAGAACGATAATGAAATACATATAATGTGTTTCTCTACGCAGAGGTTGTCGGAAAAAATCTAATACATATTATCTATGTTATGTTGTACTTATATGTTTAATTGTATTTATTCATTTATTCATTGATTCCGTATTTGGTATACAATAAAGAATAAATAAGTAAGCGGACGGCCCACCAATAGAGGGAGTGACGACTAGCGGGAAGTCGATGATTGCAGGTTGTTCAGGGCCGTGTTTTGAGGCATTCCTTGCAGGAGGCCTATGTTCAGCAGTAGACTGGTGAAGGAATATAATAATAATGATGATGATGATGATAAAATAATAAATAATAGATAAATAATCATTTATGCAAGACAACATTTTTACATTTGCTAATCGAAATCATATCCGACCTAGACATTAACAAGTTTACACAGGCATATATTTATTTAGCGTTATTAATTTAGGTTAAAATTGTGTTATATTATATTATATTATGTTTATGTACTAGTGATAATTATGTTACTTGTAATTAATAAGTTATTAGAGTGAAGTCTGTTTTTCTTTTATAATTTGGAATACAGAACGGTTTTTATCGCTCTTGGAAAAATAAATTAGTTTTTAAACACGAACAAAGCGTTCATCATAAAACACGTTGCCAGTACTTTCTACAATTCCAATGCACCAACAGATCCGCATTATTAGTACGCAACAAGCATTGTGCAGATAAGGCAGGCCGTTATCCGCACGTGTGCTCACACACGTACTCGTGTTCACTAATCTATCGGATTGCGGACCCAAAACAACAATCGATGGCGTTTTTCTATTTTCAGAAAGACGTTGGCGTTTTTACAGGATCATATTGTTTATTTTAGTTATTTTTTACAAGTTAGGGTGCCAAACGAGCAAACAATTCTATAGATGTTAAGTGGATGCTTCTTTCCTCAATTATAGATACAAAAAGCAGACGCCTTGTCATCTGTTAAGACTAAACACGGAGTGCCTTATGACTGCTACAAATACTTTTTATCGTGGTAGAGCCATGCTGCAGCTATATTCGTAGTATAGTTGTAGCACGAATGGGTCGGCTCGACCGGGGAAGGACCACGCTCTCACAGAATACCAGCGTAAAATAGCAGCTTAACGCTGCTGTTTCGTATGGTGAGTGTAGAGAACCGGAGACCCTTTTTATTGGAAAAGAGTCGTTCAGTCTTAGTCCTCACTCTTAGTGACAACGCATCTCCATTTTGATTCGCAAACGAGGATAGATG